CACTTTAAGTGAGGTGGGGCTGCGGCCTGAACCCTGGGGCCCCACTTCTAGTCTCCCTGGGGCCAGCCTGGGACCCCAGCTCTTCCTCCTTCCTGTGTGGTAATAACAGTAAGGGTGGTGCATGTATGGGCACTGCATGGCCTGCAAAACATGCAATTCTCATAACACCGTTTGAGGCAGGTATGATTATTAGGCTTATTGTACAGAGGAGGAAGCTCAGTAACTTCCTTAGTTAGGAAGTTTCAGTAGGGAGATTCAGTAACTCACCTGTTTTCCATTAAAGCTTGTTTGTTCAACATCTTAGTCTGCTCAGGCTGCCATAACAAAATACAACAGTTGGCTTAAACAGAAATTTATCACTCCTAGTCCTGGAGGCCGGAAGCCCAAATCAGAGTGCCGGCATTGTTGGGGGCTCCAGTGAGGGCTCGCTTCTGGTTTGCAGGCAGCCGCCTTCTTGCTGTGTCCTCACATGGCGGGGGTAGGGAGAGGGAGTGAGAGTCTCTTCTTAGAAGGGCTCCAATCCCATGATGGGGGCCTCACCCTCATGACCTCATCTAAACCTAATCAGCCCCCGAAGGCCCCATCTCCAAATACCGTCTTCTTGGTGGTTGGAGCTTCAACATAGGAATTGTGTGTATGTGCATGTGTATGTGTTTTAGGGGTACACAAGCATGTGGTCCATAGAAATAAGTGACTGGTACTTCTCACAGAGGTAAGCAGTTTTGGTGTGTTGGTAAATGGAGGAAGTGTAGCAGATATTCCAGTCTGGGAGCAACTCAGGATGCCTGTCTTTTAAGAGGACGATTTCTTGTAGGTCAGGGAAACCTTGGATCTTCGGTAATTGGAAGGCCTGAATGTAGTCAGTCTTCTATAGGCACAACTTCCACCCTCGATGCTGTGGCATCACTGGCTGAACCCTGAAATCGGAGGTCCTAGCAGCCTTTACTCTAAAGCCCCAAGGTTGCCTGCTCTGAGTGGGCAGTGAGAGTCACTTGTGGTTCTTGCCCTCAAAGAGATGAGAGTCTCAAAAGTAGAATCAGATATATGAATAAATAATTACCAAACAGTGTAGGAGGTGTGATAATACTGTTAAAGTCTAAGTGATGTGGCAGCAAGAGAAAGGGGTACTTAACTTTGCCTAGGAAGTCAGAGAGGCCATGACACTTGAAAAATGCTAGAGAACCAGTTGGAGGTGGGGGCTGGGGTGGGGGGAAAGCCATTGAAGACAGAGGGACACTCGTATGTACTGAGCATCTATTATGTTTCTGGCATGATGGATGCCATGGTGAATAGAGTCGGACAAGGTCCCTTTGACGTCTCATGTCAAACATCCCGTCCTCATCCCCATCATCCTAAGCTGGGGCGGTCCTCTCTGTTCATGCTTGCAAAGCCCCGTCTAACTTTCTCAGCCCTTAATCAGAGTTTGCAGTGACACACTTGTCCTCCTTCACTGGAGAGGAAGCTTCTGTCTGCAGAGACTGTCTCTTTGCTCTTCCCTCATGCCTGAAATGTAGTGTGCACCTCCCAGATGGTGGGGCAGGCTGATGTGCATGACAAAAAGGGTGGGACTTCTTGCCCAGTTGTCCCCAGCTCACCAAATCCATGTCACTCTCTCTCTCTTGCAAAGGAGTACATAAGAGCTCAGAGAGAAGGGTGAAAACGTGACTTCTCAATACTTCCAGAAAGTTAGATCTTCTCATTGCATGGGCCAAAATAGATCACAAAATGTCCCATCTTATTATTAGCATAAATTTTTTAAATAGTTTGTCCTTACAGCAAACACACTGTTGCAATTTGACCTGTGACTCACACTTTCTGATCAGGCAGTCTGCCACTTCCTGCTGATCCCCGTCTGACACTTCCCCGAAGTCAGTTTCCTCAAACACAAAGAACCTTGAAGGAATCTTGAGATCATGATATGAAAGCACCATGCAGCTTTAAAATACTGCACAGACTTATCCCCAAGGACACATTTCTGTGGCTTTGCCAGGCCAAAAACAGTCTTCTCAGACTCAAGATACATTCCCGAGGCTCTGGGTCTTGACATTTGGCCTCTCCCAAGAGACCATGCAAGGCATTGTTGTAAAGGAAAATGGTGTTTTCTCTTCTTCAGGTGTAAGCATAACGATGGATGGTACAGGGCACAGGGAAGAGCAGGGCGGATGCGGAGAGTCTGCCCATGTTTTCCATGGGATGTCATAGGGGTGACAGTGGAGATTTGCACCCAGATCCTAGTGCATCTGCGCCCAGACCAGCCCTTCTGTGGTGGTTGCACCAGGCTGGGTGTAACAAGGTGGGGTAGGGGAGCAGGTGGAAGGATCAGATAGCAAATAAAATTGGGGGAACTGAGTGTAGAGTGGAAGGTCCTTGCTGTATCATAACATATTCGTAAGCCCCTTAAATCCTATTTGGAGCAAGATGAATCATGAATAAATAGCTAAAGTTAATATACAGCCCTTGTCCCAGTTGTGGGACATTACCAAAGCATTTCTTCCAAATCAAGTCTAACAAAACAAAAACAATATGAAGAACAGGAGAGAGAGAGTGTGTGAGAGAGCGCTGAAGTAGACCCAACGGCAATACTAGAAAGATAATCTTCAAAAATGGTTGGTAGATCAAACAAAAGCAACTCCATCCCAATTAACACCTGTTGTGACACCACATGGAGAGAGCCAGGCATCAAACGTTGACCCTCACATACTAGCATTAGCCCTTAAAGCAGATAGACACTGTCTACTCTGAGGGCCAGGACGGAAGAGATCACGATGGATGAAGAGGAGGAAAGCTAATGCTGTAAAACGCTGAGGGGCTAAGTGGGAGCCACAGACCAAGGGTGCCGGTGTGGAGACGCAGCCTGAGACCATGCGAGCTACGCAAGAGAAAACCAGGAGCATGAAAACAAAGCCTAGAGAACCGACCTGCAAGAGATGGGAAATGCCAAACAACAGTAAAAAAAAGATCCATGTTGTAATAGCAGCTATTTAGATAGAACATTCAAGAAAATGTCGTATGGGAACTACCGTCTCAGGAAGTACCCACACACCCCAGGGAAGAATAACATAATGAAAATTACTGCTCTTTACTGAGATCTTATATGCCCTAGACATGGGGTTAAGCATTTACATGTATTTCATCTTTATAGCAACTTTCTGGGGGAGGACTAGTATATTTTATCAAAGAGGACACTGAGGCTTGTGGCAGTTGGGCAACATGCCTAGGTCACACAGATGCTAAGAGGGAGATGCAGATTGAAACCCACCTTCAGTCTATATCATGCTCTTCCTCAGCATCACAGGGCAGTGAGAAACCCACATATGAGTGAGGAGAGTCCAGCATGCGGCGTGATTCTGACACCAGGGAACTCTATGACCTTGGGCCCCATGTCCCTTATCTAGAAAATGATAAGGCCAAGCTAGGTAAGTTTCAAAGTGCTCTTCCAGGCCAGGCGCATGGCTCACGCCTGTAATCCTAGCTCTCTGGGAGGCCAAGACAGAGGGATTGCTTAAGGTCAGGAGTTCAAAACCAGCCTGAGCAAGAGTAAGACCCCATCTCTACTATAAATAGAAAGAAATTAATTGGACAACTAAAAATATATAGAAAAAATTAGCTGGGCATGGTGGCGAATGACTATAGTCCCAGCTACTCAGGAGGCTGAGTCAGGACAATTGCTTGAGCCCAGGAGTTTGAGGTTGCTGTGAGCTAGGCTGATGCCATGGCACTGTAGCCCAGGCAACAGAGTGAGACTGTCTAAAAAAAAAAAAAGTGCTTTTCACGGCCAAAAATGCTGTGAGTTTTTCTACTCAACAGTCAAGAGACATTTAAGTTAGAAGGCATGCAGAGAATAACAGTGAATCATACCTATGGGAAAATTTTAAAAATAGGGGTTGCCATCATGGTAGCAGGTGAAATCAATTATGAAATAAAAAAGAGCACTGAGATATGATCAAGGTCACCATAGAAGGTAAAGCTATAGAAGAAAGGAAGCCTGGTAGTGAAACTGAGTGCACATATCCCAAACTTGTAACAGAAAAGTGCATAAAAGAAAAACTAGCAGAAATGTAAGACAGAGAAATCTATCTATGTATGTATCTATCAAGAATTATAGTTAAAGACTATGTCAAGACTTTGAAAATGTGGCTGTTTAAGAAACAAAAGGGTACAGATAAGATGTTATTGGGAAAGAAATGAGAATGCCTAACAAAATGGGGTGGAAAGGGGGGAGGAATGAATAGAAAATGAAATAGGAAAGTCTGAGAACAGAATAATGAAGGAAGAATTTATTGATATAATATGTGATCCTAAAGATAGGATATGTTAATACATTGAAGCAAATAAATGGAAAGAAACCCATCTTGCTCTTGAACATAAAAGATATTTAGCAATTACAAAAAGGCAGAAAGCCCATATATCACATTATCCCAACCGCATATAATAATCTTCAAAGAAAATAACATAGATGAGTTAGAAAAATGCTCAACTATTTGAAAATTTTGGAATACTCCCTTATATAATTTCTGGGTTGGGAACAAACATACAATAACAGAAAATATTTTTTTAATGAAAATAAAGCTCACTATCCTAAGTAAAGAATTGTTGTAAATCAATTTGACAGTATCCGAATTCTGTGTAATGAGTAGATAGTTTAAGGAAAAACAGACATAAAATCACAGGAATGAATGCACATCATTCATGACCTAATGAAATGCAAATTAACACTTGTTACGGTTTCATTACATGCCTATAAAACTAGGAAAAAAGTCAAAATGATAAAACCCAACATTGGCAGGTTTTTAGTGGCACCAGATTCAGCGCTGGAGGGATGGAAATGGAAAATAATGAATCCCTGCCCTTGTGGAGCCCAGTAATAAAGGGATGGCTAAGACGAGGGAGGCACACTGGCAGGGTGGATGGTTTGCCTTTCATCCCAAGCCCTTTCGGGCCAGTGGCAGGCCAGTGCTAGAGGACCTCGCGGGTAACTGCATCCTTTCTCCTCCGGCCAGGCTGCCCATTCTCCAGGGGGCGACATTTGCTTTTTTGGCACCCACTCTGGCTATGCTCTCCCTTCCGGACTGGAAGTGCCCTGAGTGGACGTTCAATGCCAGCCAGGTGAACACCAGCTCCCCAGAATTCACTGAGGAATGGCAGAAGAGGATCCGAGAGGTAACGGGGTAGGGGGTAGGTGGGAGGAGGAGAGGGGTACACAACGGGGCTCCTGGGTAGATTCCTTTGTTCAACATTCATTATCCAACTCCCTGCCAGGCAAGATCCTGGGCTTTAAGATCCTGCTACACACCAGACAGACAAGGACGCTGCCCACCTGGAGCTGATGCTCTAGTGTGTGCATGTGGTGGGTGGGGTAGAGTGGGAGGGAGAGAGAGAAATACCCCAACAAGTAAATGGAAATAGCAAATTTCAGGGAGTTGGAAGTACAACGAAGAAAATAAAACAGGGTGAGGGAGTGAGCTGCTGGGGTGGAAAGGATGGAGAGAGAAATGGGTGTTCTTGGAAACACACTCGCATATTTCAAGGAGGAAGAGCTCAAGCATTTCTCCAGCCAGTCCCGGGAGGTGGAGAGGGCAGGGGGTAGTACTCCTGTTTTATATTAATTCATCAAACGTCATTAGTTGAACACCTGGTAAGTGTCAAGCATCTATTGTGCTAAGTGCTGGAACTACAAAGAGGAGAGAACACATCAGGGTGTTGGTGATGATGATGATGATGAAGATGATGGTGATGATGGTAGTAGGAACAGATCATGGTTACTAAGCACTTAGAGTTTTCCAGGCACCCTGCTACAAGTTTTTCATAGATGCACAAGCACCATATTGACAAATGTCCATAGCAAGCTCAGGTTAGTGGGAAAACCAACATGCAGGACCAGAGCTCAGCGCCATTCTGTTGGGGGGTGCTGCCTGCTTAGTCTGTCCACTTTGGACCATTGTGCCCCTGTGCTCATCTGCCATGAAGCCTGACCCTTGCTGAATTCAATTGTATCATTAGGGAGAGGAGCTGGTGGCCTTGAAGCAGGCTGTGAACTTTGGCAGTGTCCCGGTTGGCTTTCCTAAATGGTGGAGAAGGAAGTCAGCACACTCAGGATTCTTGGCAGAGAGATCAGCCACATCCTCAGGGCCAGCAGACCCCATAGCTTCCAGACTCCAACATCCTCACCCGAAGTGGGTGGGTGGAGGGGTGGCTCGTGGGTTGGGTGCAGTTGTAGGTGGTATTGTATGAGAGAGCGAGGATCACTTGAGATCTTTAGGGAGCTCAACCATCTACTTCCCAGATCAACCTGAAACACTGAGGCCTGCAGCATCTGTGTGTGGGCTGGCCCCGAGCTATGCCAGGGACCAGCTGCTCTGGAGCAAAGGTAGCATCACACAGCACAACGTTGTGATGATGGGCTCCATCACGCAGTAGCTGACTCAACCATGAATACAGCCCTCATTTATTACCTTTGCACCAACTCCCCCAGGATCACTGGAACTGAACAAAGGACGTTCCTGAACTGAGGGCCATGGACCTGGATCAGGGTGGGCTCCCTAGATACCTCTGGGAGTCAAGCGAACAAGCCTTAGACCAGCCAGGGCCCATCCTGCAACCACCCTGACCCACGTTCAGTGCCCCCATAGCCTCATTGCTGCAACAATTGTTACTCCTTGTATGTGAAATACGAAGGAGGGAGATGGAAGATGGAGGGAACGATAATGAGATTCCTATTCCTGCTTATATTTGACCAGTGAGAAGGAACAGAATCTGCAAAACATCTCAGTGTGTAATAATACTACTCTATGCTTGATAATATTAATATTGCTCTAGTTTTATTTTCCCCCCCTGCCTCCAAAGTTTGAACTGATACCTTTTAAAATGAATTTTTAAGTCTAATAGGCATACAGAGATGAACACTGTAAATTTCCACAAGCTGAACTTACCCATGTAACCCGGCTCAAGAAACAGGACATTACAAGACCCCAGACACCCCCTCAAGCCTCCTTCCATTCACCTCACGCACAAGAGTAACCACTCACTATCTTGACTTCTAACACCACAGATTAGTTTTGCCTATTCGTGAACTTTGCATGTGGAACCACGCAGTACATGCTCAATTGTCTCTGACTTGCAATCAACATCACATTTGCAAGATTCTTCCATATTGTTACATGTAGTGGTAGATTATTCATTCTCTTTGCTGAATAATATTCCATTATATAAATATACAGCAATTTATTTATCTATTCTGTGTTATCCAAACTTTTATTTATTTATTTTTGAGACAGAGTTTCACTCTGCTGCCCAGGCTAGAGTGCCATGGCGTCAGCCCAGCTCACAGCACCCTCAACCTCCTGGGCTCAAGAGATCTTCCTGCCTCAACCTCTCGAGTAACTGGGACTACAGGCATGCGCCACCATGCCTGGCTAATTTTTTTTCCATATATTTTTAGTTGGCCAATTAATTTCTTTCTATTTATAGTAGAGACAGGGTCTCGTTCTTGCTCAGGCTGGTTTCGAACTCCTGACCTCGAGCAATCCTCCCGTCTTGGCCTCCCAGAGTGCTAGGATTACAGGCATGAGCTACCGTGCCTGGCCCAAACTTTGATTTTAAGGGTGATATTCAGTTATTTGCTGTTGTAGATAGTGCTGCTCTGAACATTTGTGTACTTGTCTTGAGGTGAACACACGTATGTACTTCCACTGAATATACACCTAGCAGTGGGATTGCGGGGGCACAGGGTGTGCATGTGTCCACCTTTGGTAAGCACCACCAAATACGTTGTCCAAGTGCAGTTTCCAGTTTATACTCCCACCGGCAGTGTAGGTGAGTTCCAGTTATTTTACATCCCCACCAACATTTTCTGTGTTTTTCATTTTAGCCATCCTGGTAGTAAACTTGTATCATTTTTTATGATGCCATTGAGTGAGTTAGAGGTAACTGTAACTGTTCCTCCTCAACTGTAGTTCTACTTGACCTCCTTGGGTCATTTTTCCCTTATGCTTACCACATTAACTGGTGACTGAAGTTCAATATCCTGATGTAGACTTCATTAGGTATCATCATTTCCACGATTTTCATTTCGTTGAGTATCCTGTAACCGATCTGTGAACTCATAATTAGACCATGAACCATCACAGTCTCACACAAAAGTTCAAGCAACAGACTATGTCCTAAAGTGCCAGCATCACGTTAGAAATTGGCTGCAGTCACAGTGCTCTCTCTCTCCTCATTCAATGCGGTCAATTATACTCTGGCTCCAGTTTTATTAAGACAGCAGCTTTAGGTGTGTTCCAGTTTGGTAGCATCAACTCTGATGCCAGCACCTTTCATCCCAGACTGAAGATAGATCTAGAAATATTGCTAAGAAATTATTATTTTATTACCAACTTATTTTAAATGTGAAGGGCAAAAGTAGCATCATTTGGTACAGGAATTTGTCTGCAGGAATTTGTCTGGAGCTGCAGGCTCCAGCTCTTTCTTTTTCCCGCTGGGAGCCCTTGGCCCATTCATTCCCTTGCTCCTGCCAGAGGAGGGGTGTTTGAGCCCTTCTCTGCTGTCCTCCAAGTAGTGGGCAACAAAAGCAACACTGTGAAACCTCTTCACGTGTCCTTCCCCAAGGTACTTTCAAATGACTCAATACATGTATTGTAACTGGGTCCTCTCCACTGGGTAGGATGTATCTTGAAAATCCCGGACTTTCCAATCAGCCCATATATACCTTCAGAGTTCCAACAAGTGAAATTAGGTAGATTTATATTATTCCTACCTTAGGGAAGGCAATCAAATCCCTAGTCTTGGAAAAATAGGGTTTCCTTACCTCCTCATTTCTCAACCTATCCCATGGATAATGCTTGCTCTTGTGCCCCTCCTACTCTAGAAAGCCAGCCCTTTATGCTTTTGTCACCAGCACTTTAAGCACATATTCCACTTTTTAAAAAAATTTTTACTGTTTGGGGAGAAAACGATATGAAATATGAAAAGATCATTTGATATTGTATTTGCTGGTCCACTCTTGCCTGGGTCATGTTGTGACAAGTGATCCACGAGGTGCCGACATGGAAGTTGCTATTTGTTTTGGTGGGCAGTCTGGGTTGCCAGTCTTTTTACAGTAATCTGGGCCAGATCTTCAGTTGTTGAACAGGCAAAGCTCAAACCAGAAACACTATCAATACCAGTTTTGAAAAATCTTTAAATTTCCCATGCTCTGTGGTGTGTCCAGCATAGGCAGCCTGGCAGCTCTGTGATGGGCTGTATCCCCTCAAAGTATATTCTCCCACCCAAGGTAGGTACATGAGCCTGCTGCTGTTGGCAATCTGGACCATCCCGCGAAACACAAGTGGCTTCAGATGGAGTTGGGGATTATGCTGTTTATGAGCCCACATGGACATGGCTTGTGGCCCAAGGTGTCATCCCATGGACTATAGTGACTACATTCAAATCATACTTCCCTCCCTTTTTCAAGACTAAGGAACATCCAACATGAGCAACCAATATCTGAGATTCGACTATAAAGTCCTGTCCCACAAAAGGGGGGAAATTTAAATAGAGCTTTCTGTGATTCACTTGCCAGATTAAACAGTTAGTCCATTGACCAATGCCCAAGAATCTCTGTAATTCTACAGGGGATGATGGCGGGCAGTATTCACAGGCACAGTCCCCACATCACACATGGCTCGGTCCAGTGGACTGACTTAGACTTGCCATACTTCTTGTCATCGCGGTCCTTCTGTTGGCTGGCAGAACGTCACACGCTTCCATGCCCAACTCTCTCAGTTAGTTGAGTAGCACCTCCAGTGAGACGCCAACCAGTGCTTCTGAATTCAAAGATTCACACAATGGGACCCAAGTCTCTCGCTGGTGTGCAATTGTCCTGTAACATTTTGTCTACTCTGGAGGACAGGGACTAACTTGCTCGTGGATCCTACAAACCCCTCCTGGGTAGTTGTCTTTCCTTTTCCTGACCATAACTATTTCCCTTTCATTGGCAAATTTTGTTGACCAGGCCATTCCTCATTCGAATGTCTTTCGGACATCACTCAAGACATAATTGGGATCTCTGATCTTAGGGTTATTTGGAGCCAGTCAGTAGTGGTCTAATCCCAAACAGTGCCCAGTAGTGGACTTCTTAGTAATGTTCTTTCAAAGGGAGAGTGATCGAGCAGCTACGTCAGGCCACACCTGCACCCAGAGCCCCGTGGCAGGGCTGAACACCTGTCTTCTGCAGGGCCAGTCCTCGCTCAGTGTAGACTCCTCTGCCTGTGCTTCCGCTAGCTCCGGAGCCCTGTGCCTGTGACGCTGCAGTAGGCCGGCCCGAGCCCTAACTTGTCCATTTCAGCCAGAAACTTCTGCCACTCTTCTTCACTTTGAAAAACAGCCTTTTTCATGTGCCTGTACTCTCACATGCAGTCCAAAAGTGTGCCTGATGCGGGTGGAACTTAATAATATCATCAAATCTCCGTGCTTCCTTTTTATCTCGGGAGGGACTCAAAGTTAAGAAGGTGTTTTACTCTTTAAAGAACCGTTCCACGCAGCTCCAGACCAAGACATTCCCAAGGCTTTCCCTTGTTAAGCTGTCAGGCTGTGAAGTTTCGCTGCGTTGATTGGCCAGTCTCAGGAGGGCACGTCTTACCCACCTTTTCCAAATCAGAATAGACTTCTTCTTCAGTGCAGCCCGTTCCTGTTATCTCACCAACAGAATGAATCGCAGCGCCCCTGTGGTTTGTGGGTTTGTGGGGCTGTTTTGTGTTTTTCTGCTGTTCCCCAGGGAGCCTTTATGCTTCGCTTTGGTAAATTCAAATTAAAACCAAGCATCTGCTATGCTAGAAGCCAGGGGCAGGGTTTCCCTACATTCAGCGCTGCTGAGAACCACAATTCCTTTATGCAGGTCTGTTTCCTTCATACTGTCCAAGAAGAAAGATCCAGCAAATTAATTTGTCTTTACTTCAATCCGAGCACTGCTGCTGCTCAGCCCTTTCCTGCGTTCTAATACAGCGTCTGCCTCCGGCACTGCCAGGGCGCGGCTCGCAAACCCTCACCGCGTTCAGAAGCAGTTGCCTTGTGCTTTGAGAACAGTGGGCAACCATAAAGGAGAGGAGTGTCCCTGTGGGGCCTGAACAGTATTGGTGGACATTTAGGGATATGGGTCCTGCTGTGCCTGCACTGAGCCTGGATCCCAGGTGACAGAGGCATTCATGTTTTCTTCAATGTATTTACTGCTTATTTTTGTGCTTATGATACATAGAGTCCTCTAAAGCAGGAGCCTGCAAAGTATGCTTTTTGGACCAAATCCAGCTGGCAGCCTCTTTTTTTTACTGCCTGTGAATTAAGAAGGGTTTTTTATATTTTTTTAAAGTTTTTTTTAAAAATTGCATTAGAAACCCAATGTGGCTTACAAAATCTCAAATATTTACTCTCTGCCCTTTTATAGAAAGTTTGCCCACCCCTGCTCTGAAACCCAAGGTGCAGGGCAGGGGCTCCTCTTGCCGGTGTCTGAGGGTGTCACAGCCGCTATTTTCCTCCACATTGTCCCCAAGTGTCAACACAGCGAGCCCCAAACCCACAGTCTTATCCGTGCTACTTTAGCTCCCTCTGCTGGTCCAGTGTTTTCCACCAGGGCTGTAGACAAGAGAAAGTTCTTACAAGTTTCAATGTCATTTTATAATTTAATAATTGATTGATTGTTAGTTTAATTCACCGAGCCAGCCTGTTGGGATAGAAAGCAGATTCACCATGTTTCACTGAGATCCATTTATCCACACATATCTCCAGGCTTGAACCCACGGCCAGCAGACCAACTGCACATCACAGCGCTAGTCACAGATGAAAGTGACATGAATATGGAAACGATAGAAATGTTATCACTGACTAGGACACAAGAAGTAATGGAGAAGTATAAGTGAACTGTTTTTGAGGAAATGGTGGTAACAGAAAAAGTAGGGAAAACTGTGGGAAGAGATGGTAAGTTCAGTTTTCAACACATTAGACCAATTTAAATGTCACCTTCCAATATCCCAGTAGTTTGAGCTAACATAGAACCCACTCATATTACCAACACATAAAAATTCTGGATGAACTATGGTTTTTGAATGTGTGCTCGAGCTCAAAACCAAAGGAAAATTCCACTCTCTAGAAACAAAGATGGGAATTATAGCCAGAATCAGTTTAGATGGTGGGTTAAAGAGTTAGACTCAGATGTAGGACCAAAGGCTAGGAGCTTGGGTTTTAATGGTCAAAGGGATCATGAAAGAGCACCCCCTTCGGTGAATAGGGACCTATGATAATCCCACCGTCCCAGGGAATTAACAAGGAAAGTTTTTGTTCTGCCCAGGGGGTCTGTGGGAAGTGCTGGAACATGGACTCACATGAGAAATAAAGACTCCAACTCTGCAACATGTGTGAGTGTAGTGGAAAGACTCTCAAGCTCAGACATTAAAGTAGAAATTGGTCCTGTCGATGAAATGCCTGTGGTTCTCGGCCAAAGAAAATATAAAATTATTCATTAGTGATATTTCCACATTCTAAGGCACACAAGACTCCCACAGGAAAAAAATAATTCCCCTAAAGGTGAGCTCACAGACATAAATTTTATCATTTCACACAAGGAAATAATGTATTATAAGAGATAATAAGCAGAAATAAGAACTAATAGAACAATTTAAATGAGGATATTAAATCAGTACTTAAAAAATAATTGAAGAGAGGCCGGCGCAGTGGCTTACGCTTGCAATTCTACCATTTTGGGAGGTGGAGATGGGAGGATTGCTTGAGGCCAGGAGTTCAAGACTATCCTGAGCAAGAGAAAGACCCTGTTTCTACAAAAAATAGAAAAATTGGCTGGGCATGGTGGCACATGCTTGTAGTCCCGGCTACTCTGGAGGCTGAGACAGGATTGCATGAGCCCAGGAGTTTGAGACTGCAGTGAGCTATGATGATGTCACTGCACTGTAGCCCGTGTAACAGAGTGAAACTCTGTCTCAAAGAAAATAAAAAATAAAACAAAAAGTTACAGAGAGTAAGAAGCAATTAGAAACTATAATCCAGAAGATAAAATGAAATAAGAATAAGGAAATTCGAAAATAGAACCAAATAAAACTTTAATAATTAAAAAAGTCATTGCAATTTAAAAATGCATTTAATGAGTTAAACAGCATTTAGGCAGAGCTGAAGGGAGACTAATAAACTGAAAGATTATCTAAGGAAATAGTCCTGAATTCGGCACTGAGAAATAAAAATATGGGAAATGTGAAATAGAGGATAGGAAATGTGAAACAAAAGTTAAGAAATGTGAAGCTAGGCTGGGCATAGTGGTTCATGCCTATAATCCCAGCACTTTGGTAGGCCAGCGTGGGAGGATTGCTTGAGCCCAGGAGTTTAAGATCAGGCTGAGAAACATAGAGAGACCCTGTCTCTACAAAAAATGAAAAAATTAACTGGGCCAGGTGACATATTCTTGTAGTCCCAGCTACTTGGGAGGCTGAGGCAGGAGGATTGCTTCAGCCCAGGGTTTGAGGAAACAGTAAGCTATAATCACACCATTGTGCTCCAGTCCGGAACTGTTAAGTATTCATATTAAAAAGCTAAGAATGACTTCTAAAAGAATAAAATAGAAGGTATAACATCCAAATTCATAAAGAAAAAAGGGGAAATAAAGCAAACTCAGTCCAGTAGATCGGAAGTTGGCAATCCACAGCCCAAGAGCCAAATCTGGCCTGTCATCTCCTTTTGAACAGACAGCCCACAAGCTAAGACTGCTTTTACATTTTCAATGGCTAAAAGAAAATCAAAAGAAGAATAATATTTCATGACATGTCAAAATTAGGTGAAATGCAAATTTCAGTGTCTATAAATAAAGTTTTATTGGAACACAGTTACACTCATTTGTTCACATCTTGTCTGGAAAAGTTGCGACAGAGCCCATATGGCCAAGAGGCCTAAAATAGTCACTGTCTGGTCCTTTACAGAAAAAGTTTGCTGACCCCTGCAGCAGAATGTAAGAAAACAGAAAAATACAGCAGCAGGATGTCGAATACACTACTGAGCGTGCTAGTGTTATAAGTCACCATCATCGTCATCATCATCATCATGATGGCCAATAAGTAACTGTGAAGCCCATCTCCTGAAAAGCTTCATGTAAAGTGAAAATGTCCAACAGGCAGTTGGAAAAACACACTGGAGGGAGGAGTGAGATTGGAGCTCTCCTTCCTTCAGGTCCTCTGGGGTCCAGCCTTGAGCCTGCACTGCCACCTAGCGGTGACCAGATTTAGCAGTGGCCTGGGCAGGCTCAGGCCCACAGTCCTGCTTCAGGCTTTGAGGCGCCTAAGCACCTCTTTCTTGCACACCAGTTGCAGGGCGCCATCATGGTGGCTTCCTGCGTCCAGATGCTAGTGGGCTTCTCAGGCCTCATTGGCTTTCTCATGCGCTTCATCGGCCCCTTGACCATTGCCCCGACCATCTCCCTGGTGGCCCTGCCTCTCTTCGACCCCGTGAGCAATGACGCCGGGATCCATTGGGGGATTTCTGCCATGTAAGTACTCCCTGGGGATGGAGTGCCCTCTGGTTCTCTTTGGTGGACGATCGCCCAAGTGACAATAATAGGAGTCCTGCATATTGGCAAACTCTTGTGGTTTCCCTCCCAAAATGCTGGGATTACAGACATGAGCCACTGCACCTGGCCTACACTGACCTTTTGGGGGGACTTGGGGATGGTGCTGGACACGCTCATTCACTCTGTCCCTTGTGGTCCGAGGGGAGGTGTGAGGACCGTCGGTCCTGCAGAATGACCTGGAAGATGAGACGGGTCCCTGACTCTGGCCTCACTGGCTCTAACTGCTGGATCTAACCAGCTGCCTGCAACTTACTTCCCTCAGACAGCCCCCCACCACCCATGTTTTCAGAGATGGCAGGACTCTGCCTGTGCTGCAGAGAGGGACCCAGAAGGGGACCCTGCCAGCAAGGCCACTGGTCCCAGAGACACATGGCAGCTCAGCTTCCTGAACCACCTGCTAAGCCTCATGTGACACTCTGTTAGGACGTGCCCCAGCTCACCAGCTTGGGCGTGGTTGTTTGTTTCTGTTTTAGGACCATCTTCCTCATCGTGCTGTTTTCTCAGTACCTGAAAAACATCACGGTGCCCGTGCCGGCTTACGGAGGACAGAAGTGCCACACCTCCAAGTTCCGCCTCTTTCAGGCCTTCCCTGTAAGCAGCAGCCGCCAACCTCTTCCATCCTTAGTTGACTCACCTGGGGAGCACAGGGCAGCCTCTCTGCGCCCAGGTGGCCCCAGATCACACGCTCTTCCATCTGCCTCTTCTCGGCCTTCCTTAACCTATGGGGCAAGGATGCCGGGAGGAGGCCGCAGAGTGAGGAGTGCCCCCGGCTGTGGGTGGAATTGGGGTCACCCCTCGACTTCTCCTTAAGGAGCACAGAGCCCACCGAGGCCGCTGCTCTGGGCACCGGCGTGGCACAGCCTTCTCGTGTTCCTGGCCTGTCCTCACAGCAGGGTACTGGAGAGACAGCCAAGTGCACCTCTAATTACATAGAACAGAGGGCCTGAGGCTGCCTGGTCTCAGCTGAGTCTCTCAGCTGGGGGTCTCTCTCGGTGGCTCTCTGGCAGTCCAGACACCCCTGATGATGATGGTACCTCCCTTTTCAGAGCCTTCCCGGTTAGACTCACACCACCCTGTCAAGTGGGTGTAGCTGTCGACAACACAGATATGTTTCCAGGTTTAATTTGATTGTAAACTGCATGTCTCAAATAAGGCACTTCCACTTAATGATCTCATTGATCCTCCAACAACCCTGCAAGCCAGTGACTCTAAAATTCAGTGAGCGTAAGAATCACCTGGGGACTTTGCCAAAAATACAGGCTTTTGGGGTCCCACCACCAGAGATTTAAAAGTTATGTATCTGAGGGCATCATTTAAGAAACCCCGAAAGGTTTCAGGCTCTGCTGAGCAGTGATGGTAAGTCCATTGTACAGATGAGAAAACTGAGGCTCAGAGAGTTTGCTCCAAGTTCACGTGGTCGACAAACAGTGGCAAGAGCCATGTCATCATCCTTCTGGCCCAGGCTGTGCCCAATTTATAGGACATTTCTGTCCCGATTTGACAAAGTCTCCCCATAGCTTATGTTCTAGCCTGTCCCTATAGTGTGCTCATTTATTCGTTGACACACTGGATTCCTGTTGTCTCTGGAAGGGTCAGTTGCACAAGACTCGCTCATTTCAAGGCTTTCCTGAGCGCCCTACTTTGCCCACACCTGGGGTGGGTTGGGGGAAGCAGGTGCGTGGTGGGCGGGGCCAGGCACCTGTGACTCTGACTCCCCGCAGGTGCTGCTGCCCCTCTGCATCTCCTGGTTCATCTGCTTCATGCTCACGGTCACCAACACCCTCCCCACGGACCCCTCAGCCTACGGGTACCTGGCCCGCACCGACACCAAAGGCAGCGTCCTGAGCCGGGCCCCTTGGTTTCGCTTCCCTTACCCAGGTGATGAGAAGACCCCGCCCCTTTTGCTTGGGACACAAGTTTGCCGGAACTGTCCAGGAACCCAGGGCTCTGGATGGAGAGTTGAACAGGGATGGGGGAGGGATCTTCTCCAGGGGACTGTCAAGGAGAGGAGGGACGGGCCTCAGGGAGCCTGTGTCAGACTCCTAAGACAGGAAGGAGACCCCGGGGGTCCTAGGAATCCCCTGGGAGTGGGAGCCCAAAGGGCCGGGCTCCCAGGCCTAGCTCAGAGCTGGCTACATCCCTCATCCTGCACAATGCTCAGGACCCAACCTCCCAGCCAGACCTTTGGGTCTCCTCCTAGATCCGGTGGATCTCACACAGGGGAGGCCTGGGGAGACCTTTTCCGTGGCTCTTGGCTCAGGCTGTATGGGTAGCTAGGTTGCAGGCAGGGACTGTGGACCTAGGGCTTCCCTGACTAAGACTCTCAGCTTCCAAAAACCTCAAGGCCCTGCTAGGAAGAGACCTGTTGGTGGCTCTTTTTGTGCACAGTGACCTCAAGTCCTGGGCATCAGATCCACCCCCAGGGAGGAGCTGTGAGGCAGGAATCCAAGCCAGAGCCTCCGGGCAGTTGTGAGGGTTGAAAGACACTTTGCCCAGTCTTTTAAGCTTTCCCCCGACCCCTCTGGCAAAGAAAGTATTTGGGCTTCAGCAGCTTCTCAGTTTCTGAATTAACGCTCCCTCTGTCTTGCGTTTGCAGGACAGTGGGGCGTCCCCACTGTCAGCGTGGCGGGGGTCTTCGGGATCATCGCGGGGGTCATCTCCTCCATGCTGGAGTCGGTGGGTGATTACTACGCCTGTGCCCGGCTGGTGGGGGCCCCGCCCCCTCCAAAGCACGCCATCAACAGGGGCATCGGCATCGAGGGCCTCGGCTGCCTGCTGGCAGGGGCCTGGGGGTCCGGGAACGGCACCACCTCCTTCAGCGAGAACATCGGGGCTCTGGGCATCACCAAGGTAAGGCTGCTGCGGGCGGCTCCTGGGGCAGGCTGGGTGCCTGGATCTGCCACCCCGTGCATTGGTTTCCTGTCACCGCTGTAACAAATTATCACAAACTTAGTGGCTCCAAACAACCTGAATGTATTATTTTACCAATCTGGAGGTCAGAAGTTGGACAGGATCTCACAGGGCTAAAATCAGGTGTTGACAGAGCTGCATCCCTTCCCTGAGGCTCTAGGGAAATCCATTTTCTCACCTTTTCAGGCATCTAGATGCTGCCTCATTCCTGGGCTCTTGGTCCCTGCTTCCATCTGCAGAGCCAGCGAGACTGCATCTCTCCCACCATTCTCCCATGGTCGTATGTCCCCTCCCACGGCCAGGAGAGGTTCTCTGCTTGTAAGGCTTCATGGAGTTAAACTGGACCCACTGGGATAACCTAGGATTCTCTCCCTATCTCCAGGCCCTTAGTCACTTCTGCAGAGTCCCTTTTGCCATGCAAGGTGACATATTCACAGGTTCAGGGATTAGGGCCTGGGCCTTTGAGGGGCCAGGATTCTGCCTTCCACACCTGGCCTTCTTCGGTTATGGAGGTTCCACAGGTGGAGATTCTACTGGCCTTGGCAGATGCCACTGGGTTTCTGAGCACTGAAGAAAGTCCTCACTTCCTGCAGTTCAGGTGGGAGGTCTGTCACCTCTAGCCCAGCCCCGTGTGGGAGATCCAAACCTGAATATTCAGCTGCACCCTGGCCAGCCCCACCTGGTGTCCGAGGGCACCTCACACTCAGCGGCCCCCATGAATCTCAGCATGTGCCCCATCCTGGCTTCTCCTCCTGCAGTCCTTGTCTTAGTCCACACAGTCCTCCATAGCTCTCACTGTCCCACGCCCTCACCATTGGGTATTCTGTTTTCTCAATACCCACACCTCCTTTCCTGTCCCCTTTCCACCATTCTCAGGGCCATAGCTTTATGGCACTTTCTAAGGTGACTTAGAAAAATTAGTGTTTAATAATATTGTTTTCCACATGCTTCGCTGTGTCTTTGCAGTGGTTCCAGCATGAGTCCTGTGAGCTTTGAAAAAATACAAATCCTCCCCACGCACACACTCCACCTTGCATTTCCGTGCAGCTCCCCTGCCGGTTCTGAAGTGCAGCCTGGTGGCATTGCATCTTCCTAACACCAGCTCTGCCCAACTCTGTGCCCTGCATCGCCTCTAACACACAGCAGAGCTAAAATCTGTGAGCAAATAGCTGAGCTGGCACCTCTCCCTACATCCAGTCCTGGGGCCTGTGACACTGTGAACTCTTTGAGATGTGCCTGAGGTTTCAAAGCCTTTAGTGCAGGTGTGGGGAACATTTTCCTATAGGAGGGCCACTAACTCACACCAAAGCATAGCAAGGAGAGGACTACGTAAGTATAAGACAGCAAATATTTCCTTTCCTGCTATAGGGGAGAAATCTCATGCAGAACATTGTATTTCAATAAACAGAACAAACATTTCTTTGATGTATCATTTATAAAGTAAGGCCCTTTAGAGGAGAGGGAAGGAGCAGGAAAGAAAGATACATAGACACAAAGCAACCTACAAATCAAGTAGGAGACTAAAGACTAGCCCTGAAAGAGACACAGTGCAAAGACCACTTGCTTTTGTGGACTCACACTTCCCCCTTGTGGCCTTGGAGCTATTGCTTCGTGTTGCAGCTCTGCAATGATGAGCTCTGGCCTCTTCTTGGCTCTCCCCATGTGTAGGGGGAAATCAGGCTGAAGGCCAGAGACTTCCTGTCACTCCTCTATGATGTCATGGCTTCCTGCCCAGATGTCAATCCTGTAACCAAAACAGGCCCTGGGCTGCATGATAAGTGCTTGTGGTAACAGGACTGGGGCAATGACTGCCATCTTTCTGAGACTATGGGCATAGCCAGAGGACATTGGTTGAACCTGACAAATCAAGCTATTGTGTTTGTAATCTTGCCTTTGTTCCCATGGTTAATTGTTAGGGTTGTAAACAAAACAAAACATTCTTTTGATGTGGTAAGAATTTCTAATGAAGGCAGTAAATAAATAAGCCCTTAGACTGAGGAAAAATAGGCAAAGGCAGAATCTGCTACTTATTGATACATTAATGAACATTAGTTAACATTAGAGTATCTTTTAAAAAAATTTAATTATGGTAAAAGGCAGAGAATATAAAATGTAGCATCATAACCATTTTAAACTGTATAGTTCAGTAGTGTTCACATTGTTGTACAACAGATCTCCAGACTTTTTAATCTTGCAAAACTGAAACTACATTAGAGTATCTTTTAAGGGCTGTGAGTAGACACAAATAGATGAAGGACAGATTCAAGAACTATCTAAATCATCCATTGACAATAGACTCAAGACATGATATTGACAAGAACATTTGCAGTCCTGCCCTAACTTCTGAGAATGATACAGAATGCACCAAAGTCAGGGGGCATAATTTTTAAGACTTATTATTTTTTTTTTTTTAGAGCAGTTTTAGGTTCACAGCATAATTGAAAGGAAGGTAAAGAGATTTCCCATACATAATAACCCCCCCAGCCCCTGCCCCATTATTAATATTACCCACCAGGGTAATACATTTGTTACAGTCGCTGAACCTACAGTGACACATAATTGTCACCCCCAGGGCACAGTTTATATTAGGGCTCGCTTTGAGTGTTGTATATTCTGTAGGTTTAGGCAATGTGTATACATCTATAGGTTAGACATGTATAATGATATGTATTCACCGTAACAGCATCACACAGAGTATTTTTATTATCCTAAAATTTAGAGGTCTTTCTTTTCCTCACTGGTGGTAGTTGTCACCCAAACTCCAGCTATGAGCTACGTACTTCCTTCCTTGAAATTCCAAAGCTCCTAGCTACTCAAAAAACTCCATGTAAACCAAGTAATGACCATTAGTAGTGACTCCAATCAGATCATACTTTTTTAGTCAATTCTGAAACTGCAGAGCAATTGATCCTCTATAGAAATAGACTAGGAGGGAAGCTTGCTTTTCAGATTCTGGATAGAACCAAGTAACTCTGTATAATACCAGGAGAAGGGGCCTCATCCCAGTTTCGTATACTAAGTGAACCCCCATATAGAAGAAGGAGGAATCATAGTTTATAATATTTCATGATTGCTTGTTGAGAAAAATCTATCATTGTCCTAAATGAGAAAATGTATCGATTAATACAATGAAATGACTTTTATAGAGGGAGCTTTTTAAAATACAAATCTCATCACGTCACCACCCTGTTTAAAAAAGCCCCCTACTGAGAGTTTCTCTTGTCTTCGGATTTTTTATTTTTAATGCACATGACACAAAATTTACCATCTTAACCATTTCTAGGTGTACAGCCCAGTAGTGTTAAGTACATTCACACTATGTGCAACCATCACCTCCATCCAGCTCCTGAAATCTTTTCATCTTGCAAAACCAAACCTCTGAATACATTAAACAAGAACTTCCCATTCCCCACTCCCCCAGGCCCCTGGCAGCCACCATTCTGCCTTCTGTCTCTATCAATTTGACTACCCTAGGGACCTCCTGTAAGTAGAACCATATAGTATTTATCTTTTTATGAACTGGTTCATTTCATTTAGCATAATGTCTTCCAGGTTCATCCATATTGTAGCAAGTGTCAGGATTTCCTTCCCTTTTAAAAGGCTGAATAATATTCCGTCGTGCGAATATGCCACGTTTTGCTCATGCTTTGCCTTTGGATTTTATTCTAATTCCTTTCCATAGTTGCAAGGCCCTGCGGATGTCTTGTCTCCTACCTCTCTCCCAGTGTGCCCTAGTCACACTGATTTTCCTTTTGCTCTGAAACCACCCAGGCTCCTCCCACCACAGAGTCTGCATTTGCTGTTTCCCCTCTAGAATGCTCTTCCACCATTTCCTATGCGTGACTCCTTCTCTTCCCTTGGGTCTCAGCTGAACTCTCAGCTCCTGGACGGGCCTTCCCTGACCACCCTCCATCCCAGCTACCTCCTACTCTGTTCTTTTGTGATTGTCTTCAGAGCAGATGTTGCTATCAGAAATTATCTTCTTTTTTCATTAGCTTACCTGTTTGGTATCTGTCTCCTCCTACTAACATTGTAGGCTCCATTTACAAAACAATCAACATGGAAATTGAAATGGATGTAGTGTAAATTCCACCTGTCTGTGAACTCGCAACCCTGTTTGCAAAACCCAGGGGACTGATCACCAGGCTGGGCCCAGGAGACCTGGGTCTTACTCAGGCATGGCTGCCATGTGGCCTTCGGCCCCATGTTCCCCCAAGTTTTCTCTTCTGTAAAATAAAAGGTTTGAACAAGGCTCTAGGTTTCCTTCCTGCCCCGGCCTTCTATGATACATTAAACATGCAGGTATCAAATGCTGTATGCCCACACCAGCACTGTGGGTGAGGAGTGGCTGTCGGAAGTGAAATGAGATTCCTGTCTTCGGGGAGCTTGTGATCTGGTAGGGGAACAGAAACACGTGATCTGAGTGGACAACAGCACAAGCCACACGCAAAGACATGGCATCATGCAGTAGAACTTTACACCTCTGCCCCTTGCAAAACACTTTGTATTGAGTGCTTATTATGTGCTCATGATGCTTAATGCTTACTGTTGTACGAAGCACTTCACCTACGTTATCTGATTTCATCTTATGTAGTAGGTGCTATTAATCCCGTGTGGTAAGTGCGCAGGCTGACTAGAGGCAGAGCGGGGTTGGCTCTCACCCCCCATTTGTAAGAACAGGGCCCCTGTGCTTCCCCGGGAAGACTCCTTGCCTCGCTGCCCAGGTTTCTTAGGAGAGGAGCATTTGGGCCAAGATTTGAAGACAGGTCTGAGAGCCCCAGAATGGAGAGGTGAGCACAGAGGTCACCCCCTGTTCTTTCCCAAGCCCCATTTGGGGACAGAAGGGGCTGTTGCAGGCTTCCCGGTGCTGCGCCTGCAGGTCCACCCCAATGATGTTCCAGCTGTGGGGAGTGGGGCAGAGGCCTCTGGGCGCTGACAAGCTGGTCCCCCTCTGTCCCCGCCTCCTGGCACGGCAGGTGGGGAGCAGGATGGTGATTGTCGCCGCGGGCTGCGTGCTGCTCCTGATGGGCATGTTTGGGAAGATTGGGGCTGCGTTTGCCACCATCCCAACCCCCGTGATTGGAGGCATGTTCCTGGTCATGTTTGGGGTCATCACCGCCGTGGGGATCTCCAATCTGCAGGTGAGGGGGGCGAGGCACTCTTAGAGAGGCAGCTGCATTGCTTCTCTTGAGAGGAGCCATGGGAATGGGAGGGATGGGATGGGGCTGGGGCAAGGGAGGAGGAGAAGAGAATGAATCCTTGGTCCCAGAAACCACATTGGCTCTGAACTGAAGAAAGAAATGGCCAGAAGCATCCAAACCTCAGAAACAGCGACTGCGTGGATGCCACCAGCAGTAAAGGTGCTGATGGCCCCATGCCCACCCCGGGGCCTTTCTCCTGCAGTACGTGGACATGAACTCGTCCCGGAACCTCTTTGTCTTTGGCTTCTCCATGTACTGTGGGCTCGCCGTTCCCAACTGGGTGAAGAAGAACCCCAAGATGCTCCAGACAGGTGATTGTTCTCTGCCCTCCAGACTGGCACTGCACCAGGGACAGAGCCAGTGGGGCCCCTGGTCCTTTCTAGCTTGTCACATTTGTCTCTACCCTAGGGATTCTCCAGCTGGACCAGGTCATCCAGGTGCTGCTCACCACGGGCATGTTTGTCGGTGGACTTCTGGGCTTTGTCCTGGACAACACCATCCCAGGTAGGGCTCGCCGCGCCCTGTGAGCTGTCACTGTGGGCAGACAGCATCTGGGCCACCCAGAGAGCTCCTGGGCCCCTGTGGCTGTGTTGGGCCCAGCGCCTGGGTGGAATATAAGGCCCATGTTAGTTTTCTAGGGCTGCCATAACAAAGCACCACAGTCTGAGTGGCTTAAACAACAGACATCTATCTTACACAGTTGTGCAGGCTGGAAGTCCAAGATGAAGATGTGGGCAGGGCTGGTTTCTCCTGAGGCCTCTCTCCTTGGCTTATAGACGGCCACCTTCACACTGTGTCCTCACTTCGTCTTTCCTCTGTGTGCAGTGCCCACATCCCTGGTGTCTCTCAATGTGTCCCAATCTACTCTTCTGATAGACACACCGGTAAAACTGGGTTAGGGGCCCCCTATTTCTCATTATAACGTAATCACCCCTTTAAAGACCCCAGTTCTAAATACAGTCACATTCTGTCATACTGGGGGTTACGGTTTCAACAGGAATTTGGGGGGGGGGGAGAGAGGAGACACAGTTCAGCCCATAACAGGACCCCAAAGTGGGAAATACACCAGAAGCAAAAGAAAAAAGACTCAGTCCTGGCTCTCTTACAACCTACAATGTAACTGGAGAGGGAGACCACACAAATATTTATTCATTCATTCACATTTAGGAAAAAAAAACGTTGAGACTTATTTTCTGTATACCAGGCGCTATGTGCTGAGACTACAAAGAAAAGTAAGACATGCCCCAGCCTTCTAGAAATCTGTGGGCTGATGGGGGAGAGGCAAGATGACAGACAGTGACAACACAGGGCAGAGAGTGCTGTGAGGAGCAATGAGCCTGTGAGTGCTGGGGAGGCTGAGGCGAGGGGCATGGAGGCTCCACTCGCGGATGGCTTCTTGCAGGAGCCATCTAAGGCCATCTCCTCTTCTCCTCTGGATCCTTCACAGCCTCGTAAGGCCCTCTATGCTAGCACCTGCTCCGTGGTATTCTGTTTTCCACATTGTTTCTCTCCACAAAGTGTGAAATGCATCTTCATTCCAGAAGCATGAAACGTGCACAGGCCTGCTCCCTGGAGTTGAGGAAAACTCTGGGGTTCCTGTTTGGTTGTACCCCTGTGCTGCGCATGGTGTCAGCCACACAGTAGGAGCTCAGAGAATGCCTGGCAAACTGAGCTGAGGCGAGGTGTGATTCTGGAGATGGGTTTGGAGGAGAAGGAGGAGGAGGTAGAGGGGGGAGAGGAGGAAGAGGAGGAAGGAGCCAGGAGAAGCTCTTCAAATGCTGACCACCTCCCTGGCATCTCCCTGGAGCTGCAGGTGGGAAGCAAGGTGGTGCCTGTCCCCGCAGGCTGCGTGCTGCTGCAGATGGACACATTTGGGAAGATCTGGAGTAGGAGGAGGAGGAGGAGGGTTGGGGAAGAGGAGGGTGCAGAGCACGGGGCTCCGAGAGGAGTCCTCGTGCGTGCCTGCAGGGGGCGCCAGAGGCCTGCTGCATCCCCTCGGCGCGCCTTAGTGCCCAGTCTTGACCTCTCCCTTTCCCCATCAGGAAGTAAGGAGGAGCGCGGCCTCGTGGTGTGGAATCAAATCCAGGATGCGTCCGAGGAGACCCTGAAGGCCTCGGAGGTGTACTCCCTCCCGTGGGGGGTCGGCACCAAGATCTGCACGTCGCCCTTCTTCCAGCGCCTGCCGTTCTGGCCCCGGCGGGGCCCCGGCGGGGCGGCCCGGAGCCCGCTCCCCGTCTGCGCGCCGGCGGCCTCGGAGACCCGGATGTGAGGGCCTCCCTCTCCGCACACCTGCCCGCGCCTCCCCCGCACCTGCGGCAGCGAGAGTGGCCGCTGTCCACACTCCCCTGCTTTCCCGCGCGCTCTTGGCAGCATGCTGATGTGTTGGGGGGAGAGGCCTGCGCCAGGGCAGGGCTGGAGATGGGGCTGTGTGCGGGGAGGGGACGGAATGGTTCTCCTCTTCTCCCAGGGGGCAGGTGGCCCTGTGGCCTCGCTGTCCCCGCCCTCTCAGGGCCTGACCCCATGGCCGGGCGGGAGCGCCCCCTCTTCAGGCATCTCCTCTGGGTTCCTGGCGCTCCAATCCCCTCCAGGCCAGGAAGGGCCGGGGGCCAAAGTCCAGGTGTGGCCGGGCTGGACTTAGCCTGCGCAGACCCCGGTCTCTGTCTGCCAGAGTGGACTGCAGGCTGCAGGGAAGTTAGCTGGATCTGCTACCTTGGGCTTCTCCAGAAACTTCCACTGTTTCCCTAGGGGATTCAGTCTTATGCCTTCACCTTTTTTTTTTTTCTTTTTGCTTAAGTTTGCGAGATCTGAATGCCTTCACCTTTTGCTGAGCACTGGGTCCTACTAGCAAGAAATAACATCCATGCCCTCTCTCAACACCTCCTTCCCCATCAAGAATGCTATCCTTGGTTGGCCAAAGCCCCTCCTCTGGAAGGAAGGGGAGACAGTTTGCTGGGGTGCGGAGAAGGGGAACATCTGACATTGTTCTAGAGGCTGTTTCCAGCATGGGCTCTCCTGCCCACCACCCCCACCATTCTCCCGTCTGTGCTTGGCATCGGGTGGGTGGAGTTGGCTCCTGTAGCCTACTTTACAAGGCTTGGTGATTTCGTGTCTCCCATCACGCTGGGCAGGAAGGGTGTGTTCTTGTGTGTTAGAAGTGGAGGTGGTGTGGGGGTTCCACCAAGTACAATGTCACTAATGTGGGTAAAAAATCTATGCATGCTGGCTCTGTGTGCAGACAGGTAGAGACAGGTGTGCGTGGGGAGGCAGGGGTGAGCAGGGTGCAGACGTGGTAGTCTCGGCCTTGTTTCCTTCCCTCCCGGGGCTACTAGCCTTTCATGCTACAGGTTTCTTTTAATATCCAAGTAACCCTGGAAGTGGGAGGGGTCACCAGGAGGGCAGGAGGGGCCTGAGGCCTGGCTTTGGGATATAGACAGGAGTACTTCTCCAGGTGGAAAAATAAAATTGATGGGATTTCTTAAGGGAGAAGTCCTGAGACTGAGCCAGAGGTGGGAATGCAGGTGAAATCCATTAGACCCCGGATTCCCTCCAGTTACTCTGTGTGGTGGAAGCACAAGCCCATGGGGAAAGATTGGCAGGGAAGGAGATGGCCTCCAGTGCATGCAGTTACAAACTCACACAAGTGGGGGATGTATAATTCCAACCCTCTTTATCGGGTGATGGGTTCAGAGTGGTCAATCTCGAAGGCCGTTCCTGGGGTGTATTGAACCAATGCCCCGATGCCTCCAAAGCTGCCTGTAAAGGACCTCGGGGAGAAGAACAGACTCCACCCCATCTCCTGGGACAATTCCAGTTGCTGTCCCTCAAAATACAGTGGCTCCAGGGAGGAAGGAGGATTGCCACATAACATGAGGAACGTCAGTCTTGAAGGGGGTGAAGAGGTGAAGGTGGGGGGGTGTGGAGTGTGATATAGCTGAATTCTGTCATATAATGGACCATGGAGATCACGATACTCCTGAGAACAGCCCCGAATGATGCCCCATGATGGAATCTGCTAGGCCAGTCCTGGAGTACTATAGGAGTAGGACTCCTATAGTACCCTGCGTGCTTCAGGAATATAACAGATAATATCCCAAAAGGTGATCCAGCATGAAAATGCCTGTAAAAGCTTCTGACTCATATAAGAATGCTAAAGGGAAGTGAAGATCTTGCAGGTCCAGCCCTGACCTTGTACACCTGGTGTACAGCCTTCTACAGTGACTGCAAAGGCAAAAGAAAAAGACAGCCTTCCCCGCTGGCTCTACCAAAAACTTCCTATGGAGGACTGTGGTAGCTCAGGGTATCCCATGTAAAGAAGTTTTTAAAGTTAATCTAGAACAAGCTTCCCATTTCAAGATCTTTAACTTAGTTATATCTGCAAAGTCTCTTTGCCATATAAAGGTGACATTCATAGGTTTTGATGATTAGGATATGGATATCTTTGGGAAACATTATTCAACCTACTACAGTCCCTGGTTAAAAATTCTATACAGTAGTCCCCCTTTGTCCTCAGTTTCTCCTTCTCTGATTTCAGTTACCTGCAGTCAACTGAGGTCTGAAAATATTAAATGGAAAATGCCAGAAATAAACAATTCATAAGTTTTAAATTGCATGTTGTTCTGAGTAGCCTGATGAAATCTTGCTCTGTCCTGCCTGGGACCCGACTCATCCTTGGTCTACTGTAGCACGCTGTAGATGAAACTTGCCTGGTAGTCATTAGTGGCCTTCTTGGTGATCAGACTAACTGTCGTGGTATCTCAGTTCTTGTGTTCAAGTAACTCTTATTTTACTTAAAATATTAATATAATTGTTCTATCTTATTAATCTCTTACTGTGCCTAATTTATAAATTAAACTTTTTCTTTAGGTCTGTATCTGTGTAGGAAAAAACAGTATATATAGGGTTCGGTCCTATCTTTGATTTTCAGACATCCACTGGGCATCTTGGAATGCATTTTCTGCAGATAAGGGGATCTACTGTATTGGTTACAGTCTTGGTCTGTTTGGGCTGCTATAACCAAATACACTAAACTGAATAACTTATAAACAACAGAAATGTATTTCTCATAGTTCTGGAGTCCACGATCAAGGCACTGGCAAATTAGTGTCTGGTGAGGGTCTACTTCCTCATAGATGGCCAACTTCTCACTGTAACCTCACATGGCACAAGGAGAAAAGGATCTCTCTGGGACCTCTTTTATATGGGCACTAATTCCATTCATGAAGACTCTGCCCATGACCTATTCATCTTCCAAAGACCCCACCTCCTAATACCATCACCTTGGAGGTTAGGATTTTAAAATATGAATTTTGGGTAGACACAAACATTCAGATCATAGCATTCACTTTATAGTATGGCAATAGTTCCTTAAGAAAATCAGCCATAGGCTGGGCTCAATGGCTCATGCCTGTCATTCCTAGGACTTTGGGAGGCCAAAGTGGGAGGATCGCTTGAGCCCAGGAGTTCGAGACCAGCCTGGGCAACATAGCAAGACCCTATCTCTACAAAAAATTTAAAAAATAAAACAAACCTTTAGATCTTCTATACTTTGGGAAATGGATGTGCCTTTAAAATCCACTTTATTGACTATAAATTTTCTCCCCAAGAAGCTGAGACCATTCCCACTGATAGTACCATTTCCTGGTTATCTGTTGGCTTCCATACTTCTCAATACTCTACCCAGAGTCTACACTGTCCTTGCTTTCAAAGAACATACCTTCCTTGCATATATCCTTAGTTGGTGAAAAGTTGTGTGTTTTTTTTTTCACCATTTGGTGACAAAGATTCAAAGTCAACGCTGCTCTTTTGAAAAAGTTTTTTATTCCTAATATAAATACTTTTTATTGATTTTATAATGTATCCAATCTGTTCTTAGAAGGTAGTTTGCAGTCCTACCCCACAGAAAAATTGACAATTATTTTTATGTAATCTCTGATGAGCTATATTCCTCTAAACATTTTTGTTTTTGCTGTATAGTTAGATAATATACGTGTGTGAAATGTAACCTTTGCAAAACTCTACTGGAAGCTGATTAACAAACAAAAATTAATACTTTACTTCAGGATAGTGAGGAATGGGGCAGAACTTTAATTCCAGATCCTACTGGACCTTTCTACTCTGCTTTTGCTTTGTACCTCACACCATCAGATTTTCTACCCTATGTGCCTTTTTGCTGTTGGCATCTATAGGCCCTTCTTCCCTGAGGATGTTACTGTCCGTCTCTCCAGCAATCCTGTCTTAACAGTTGCTGACTTCATAGCCACAGAGCTATGGCTCCCACACCCTGGGCTCCCAGTTCCTTGAGCTCCACGGTAATTGGTAGTTGGCTTATCTCAGTTGCTCATTCTGTGGTCCTATCTCTGTTTAGGCTTTGGGATTACCAATAGCTGTGTCTCCTACCATCCTCAATTTCAAGCAGTTCTCTGACCACCACCTCCTATTTTTCCAACTCAGCACTTCTAGTCTCCCAAGTCCAGTAACCTTTTAACCTGCCAGGATCTGAATCTACCATCCTCCCACCTCCCTCTTCTCTCTTCCCTCCTTAGCCAGTCTCCATTCTATGGTCAGTCGCAATAATCACCTTCTTGCATTCTTAACACCTCTGTCTGCTCTCTGTCACACTCTCTTGGCAAAAACCTTAACATGGATGAGAAACAATTCTTCACTTACTCTCCCTGCACCTGTGTGGCTGAACATCGCTGGAGAAACCACACAACCGAGCTGACTGGTTTTAGATTCATGACCATGGACGTCATGCGGGTGGCCCTCAAGGCTGCCTGGCAGGCAGGCCACCTTTCCTAAGCCCACTGTGTTAGGGACCGACCTTCCACAGCCCCACCGGACAGAAAAGCAGAGACATTGAGGATGCAATCACACAAGAGGTTTATTTTCTGGCTAGCCAGGGTCCAAGCCCCAGAGAACCAACGCAGTAGCCACTCTCGCAGGCAAGGACCCCGACCGGAACTACGGCATGCCTTTTATCCCCATGGTGCACAAGCTGCGCACAAGCTGACTACGCATGGATCACGCGTTGACCTTTAAAATGATTGGTTGCCCACTATTGCCTTTTGAAATAATTGGCGGGTTGGTTGCCCTCTATTGCCTGATGGGCCAGTCGCCCGTGCTTCAATGACCTCATCCCATAATTCCCCATACAGCGGTGTAGCAAGCAAGCAATGACCAGAAGCAAAGGTTTGTGGTTAGCTCATTGCCCCACCCAAGTAATTCCTCTGCCCTTCCTCTGCCCTACACACTGCACACTCTCTTCTGTCTTCTAAAACCCCTTCCACCTCCGTCCTGATCCTGCTTCTCAGCTGCTTATTTCACTGAGAAATCTGTAGACAAGCAATCAGAAGAGGACTTGTACCAACAGCCTCACCTCTCCACTTCCAACTTCTGTGCTTGTGTTCAGCTTCCCCTCCTGTTAGGGGAATGAGCCCTGGTTCCTCCCTAAAGCTGGCTCCTCCACGTGCTCCAGAGGCTGCCCCCCGAATCCCACTCAAGGATTTCAATGCAGGTCTCCCCTCTTGCATCATCAAATTTTCTTTCTTTTAATAATTTATGCCACCATATAGACCTGCTGCTATTTCTACTGTCTTAAAAAAAAAAGTCTGATATTTGTATGTGGCAGAGTGGCTTAAAGTAATAGGTGTAAGGCTGGTAGCAGGCCCCTCTCTCCTCCCTAGATCAAAAAAGAAAAGGCTCAGGAGACCAGACCCTCCAAGGACAAACTGCCAGGCCCCGCTGAGAACAACCACACCCAGATGTCCACCCAGATAAGAAAGCTTTGGCTCTTGGATTCCTCAAATACCACCAGCCCCTCCTATTTCTCAATGACCACCAAAGGTCACAATAGAAAAAACACCAGCTTTTCCCACCCAAAGTCTCTGGTTCACCCTAAACAGTATAAAGGCCCACACCCCCTTCAAACGGGTGTGACTTCTTGGGCCCCCCTCTCTTGTGACCCGTGAACCTCATCTGGGAGCACACAATAAAGCCACGTTGTTTAGCCCCACTCTCTCTCTCTGTCTGTTTCTTTTGCTGCCAGAAAACTTTACAATAGGGTCCAGCCTATATAAAATGCTATAATAAATATGCCACAGACCCGGGACCTGGGCTCAGCTGCTCTAGAAGAACTGAATGACACTCACACCAGTCAAGAGCAGGCCCGTCCTCCCTCCCGCCCCTTCTCTGCCCTGGTAGCTCTTCAAATCCTGTCCAATTCTGCCCTTTATTTCTTTTCCTTTGGTTGACACCTCCAGCACTTCAGAACGCTTGCCATGTTCTCCCCAGTTTTCCCAGTGTGTCTACCTATGCTTTATTCCCGAAATATGCTGTCACCAGGGAGCCACAGCGGGATGCACAGCAGGAGAGGACCCCTGGGTCCCTGAGCTGGATAAGCCTCCCCGGCTTCCCCGAGCTGTCCCTTTTCTGTAAGAACTCGTGGTTTCAGAGCTTCAGGGACAAGGCAGTTTTGTGAGAAGCTTATGTAGAAGGGACAGATTTCTGACATTTGCATGAAAGCACAAGGGCTTGTTTTGTTCAGAGTCCATGTTGGAGAAGTGCCCCTGCCCCCAGTAGCCGGTGGACAAGAGCTAATTGAGGAGACAGTTACGGGGCACTTGGCCCGATGTCATCAGCGTGATGTGGAACTGGGTCACTCAAGCTAGAGCCAGGCTCAGCCCAGGCATCGCTCCGCCCACACAATCGCAGTCTGCGCTCTTTACATGTTGATCTGTCGCAGCCCGCCGGAGGGCTCCAGCTTCCCTCCTCCAGGCCGTGCTTGTCTCTTCTGCCTCCACCTCCACCTCCGTGGTCCCCGCACCCCAGCGGGCTAGAGGTGGTGCGAGTGGCCTAGAGGCGGTGCGAGTTGCCACACGGTGCAAGACTGGCTTCATGTTTCCATGTCCTGGTTCTGAAGAATTAGGCAGACTGGAGCTTTCTGTGTCTTTCTCCTTAAAACAACAGAAATGCTCCCCACTCACTAACTTGTTGGGGGGGAGATAGTTGGAGGTGAGGGGATCCGTGGTTCTTTTCTGTTAATTGGTTTTGGGCTTCAGCCAAATTTGTTGTTTCTTCATCTGCTAAATGGAGGGAATGCTGGCTGCCCGGCCGCCCTGGGGAGCTGTTATAGCAACAGTGTAAAAGTCCCCCAATGTATGCGTCAAGTTGGCCAAGCTACAGTGGCCCTTATCTCATCAAACACTTATTTGTGGGGGTGCTCTGGTTAACATCTACCATCCCTCAACCTCACAGTAAGGAGGTTGCCCTTGATAGTGTGGGTGGGGCGCACTCAACTAGTTGAAGGCCATAGCAGCGAACTGAGGTTTTCGAAAGGAGACTTTTCTTTTTTCTTTTCTTTTCTTTTCTTTTCTTTTCTTTTCTTTTCTTTTCTTTTCTTTTCTTTTCTTTTCTTTTCTTTTCTTTTCTCTTCTCTTCTCTTCTCTTCTCTTCTCTTCTCTTCTCTTCTCTTCTTTTCTTTTCTTTTCTTTTCCCTCCCTCTCTCTCTTTCTTTCTTTCTTTCTTTCTTTTTTGAGACAGAGTCTCACTCTGTTGCCCAGGCATCAGCCTAGCTCACAGCAACCTCAAACTCTGGGGCTCAAGCAATCCTTCTGCCTCAGCCTCCTGAGTAGCTGGGACTACAAGCATGTGCTAATTTTTTCTATATATTTTTAGTAGGCTGATTAATTTCTTTCTATTTTTAGTAGACACAGGGTCTTGCTCTTGCTCAGGCTGGTCTCCAACTCCTGACCTCAAGCGATCTTCCTGCCTCGGCCTCCCAGAGTGCTAGGATTAAAGGCGTGAGCCACCATGCTCAGCT